GGGTGGTAGTTTGGTGCTGCAGGATCACCACTATTCGGTGTTATAAAATTTTTCTTGAAATAATTAAATTTTATTGCAGCAAATGAACCTGAATTGAGCGCACCGCACAGCGCTAGCCAGCTGTTGCAAGTGCCGCGGTGTTCGTGTGTACTACGAAGGCTTATGTGTATGTATGTGTGTATTTGTTTGCGAAATTTATGGTTTTTTTTTTTGCACTGTCATTTTTCACTCGCTAACTCACTCTCGCTTACCCACTTTTAATTAAGAAGCAATCATTAAATTAAACCAAACTCATTTTGGTGTGCAATAAAAACGTGGTTGCCTTTTTGCTGTTATGGCGCTCAAGGTGCTAAGTCGTCACTCTGGCAAGACATATGGCGGCAGGCAGCTGTGCTAGGCGCAGCGCAGTGAAGCGCTTAAAAGTGCTGTGTAACTTAGAAAAGTAGTGGAAAGAGAAATTTGGATCTGAAAGCTATTAACTTGCAACAATTGATGTTATCTGCGCTAGGGCTGCCAATCAACCAATAATTTTCCTTAAACATATCCATGTTTATTAGACTCTAGGGAATTTCAATAATATAAAATTAAAATATATTCAATTCTGTTTTAGTTCTTGGCTAAAACTTAAAAAAAATTTTAATTTTTTACGAGCGACCACGTAATTTGGACAAAAATACACAATTTTCGTAGCATACCATTGGGCGCATGCATCCTTAGTACTCGACAAAGCAAAAAAGAATCAAAGCAACTGCAAAACCTAGAAATTTTTCTTTATCTCGAAAACTTACATAAATACCTTCCGTAGAAGATTATTTTTCAAATTGTCGAGATAAAAAGGAACTGACATTTAGAACCTTAAAAATTTGGTGAATATTATACTTAGGCTCGCCATAAATTCTGTTGCGAAGTTTACAATGTATACAGAAAATAGAAAGTTATCTCAAGGAAAGTGAAATGAATGAAGCGACCTAACCAAAGCCTTCTGGTCAAAGTCAACTGGTCATCTTCGGAAAACGAGCTTGAATCAAATTAGGCAGCAAGCGGCTTCTTCAGCGGTACGCGGTCAACAGCCTTGAAAGTATCCTTCTTAAAAATGAAAACATTTCACTGCTTAACAAGTTTTTAATAAGAAAAACGGCAAAATCTACGAAAAAACTTCCAAAGATGCAAAAAATGCTATTCTAAGGGTTCAACGTGGTCAACACTCAGTTGCTGTGAAGGTTTGGTGGGATGTCTTCTGTAAAGGCGTTACACTTCTAAAAGGGGTAAAACTCTGGCAAAAATGTTCAAGCAGGACGTTTTGGGAGGCGTGGTAAAGTAGTTAAGCAAAACTTTTTTTGATGTAGGGCATTGCATCTTCCAGCAGTGTTAGTTCCAGCACACAAAGCAAAAACCACATAGCAATGGCTTAAAAGCAATATTCATGGTTTTATAACTGCAGATAATTGGCCGTCGAAAAGTCCAGATTTGAATCCATTGGACTACAGTTTGTAGTAAGAGTTGAAGAACATGGCCTGTTAAGTGTCCCACTGAGAGAGAGTTATTTAAAAATATATTACAGTTTCAATTTTATAACAGTCTGAACCTGTAACAGAACTTATGGCAGAACTGAGTAGGAACGTGTAAAATCATTTTAAAGATTTTGAAAAATCTGTGACATTGCTATCATTATATTATCCTTATTGGTTTTAATAGACTTTCGGAATTAGTGAATAGAACCACGTTTTACCGATCTTCACAACATTCCGAGATGTGGCTAAATATTATTCGCAAAATTGTGAGTTCCAAGGTTTTCAGACAATGTCGAATATATGATAACTTTTTATTTCAAACTTTATCAAGTCGGAAATGTATCTAGAAATTTGACAATACTTATAGGGAAGTGAGGCCTAACAATAAAGGCTTATATTTTAAATTATAATTTTTGATGCGAATTTAATTCAAAATTAACATCCAACTTTTTCACTATTACTCCTGGAAGCTTTACCAAGCTATTTCTGCTTAGGCAGATTAAAGAATATTTGAAAATTAAGCCAGTACACCACATTATTCTTTACAAACATTTATCTATGTATTTTTAAACTCAACACCTTCCTATGTATATTAATATTAATGCCACCACCGTACAGCGTAGCTGAAGCTGCATCGCTTGGAAGATGCGCTGGCAAGGCGTTAATTGAAAAGTGTAATGAAATTAAATAGCTCAAGCAAAAATAAGCCAAAGAAGCAACAGAAAAAAAGTACAAACAACAACATGTTAAAAAGTCAAGGGAATGCTTGAAAGAAAGCTTCGCACACACATACATAGTACTCCCGCTAATTCGCTGAGTTATGTTGAGACTACAATAAATTGTGCGGTTATGTATTATATTATCATAAAAAGGACAGTGATGAGGAAAACGGTTATGAAGTTGATGGAAATGTTGTTGCTGCTGCTGTTGTTTTTGCTTTCGGTGAAAACAATATCTCGGGCACCGCGGTTGCTAAGGATTTATGATAATATGATTATATAATGCTGTAGTTAATGTTGTAGTTGTAGCTGTTGCTGTAGCTGACAATAGATGTGCACGCTTTTATTTCTGAACCGCGGAAAGAACAGGGAGCAGCAAAAAAACTGATAAAACATTTTTGAGTGACGTTGCAATACTGTTGTTTAAGAGATTGAATGGTGAAAAGTTTGGTAGGTTGCATTTTGTCGGTGTTTTTGATAAAAAAAAATCAACTTAAATTCAATAAATATATATTGTGATGGAATTCATAATTCGGATTTTGCATAAGGGAGAGAAAATATATATTGTAAATATATGTTACACTGAATTTTTAGACACTTAAACTTAGTAATCTTTCTTTTTTTAAATATAATTATGTATATACCCTTTTATGTATATACCCTTTTTTCCACTGGGAGGGGTGACTTAATATTCAAAAAGATATTAAATGTTTTATGCATCTCTTAGAGGAGTTGTTGTTGAAGGAGGTTGTTGTCATTACACACTATTTATCAAGTGAACCAAAGAAGCTAAAGACCAGAGCACCTGACCATTGTAAAGGGAATTTTTGTAAACCTGTGGTTTTCAAGAAGAAACAAAAAACAAATACATACATTCTTATGTTATGGTCAACAATTTAGCTTTATTATAAATATAAGGATTTGCCGTTATGTCTTAAAATTGATATAGGGCAAGTGACCGCCGCGGCTGGCTCGAAAAAATTCCAACCGAGAGGCCCAATTTTCGACCAGTATTTGCCACACATGTAACAGCAAAAACCGTTTAATGTTCATCTTCTGCGTTTTCGACCCTGCTGAAACTTAATATCTTTCCAATGATTGTCGAATCGAATAAAATACTATTATTATTGCGGTTGCAAAATGAAAAAGAGTTTAAACATACTATCTAATTAAATTTGATCCTGGACTGACAAAAAATTTATATTTTCAAGCATGTTAACACAAATATTTAATATCTCAAAATATACTACTTTTGCAACAGATTCAGGTATTTGGGTATTTCATTCCATACGCAATATGTTGAGATTCTCTGCTATCTCTCTAATCGCAACACGATTTTTTCGAACACAGTTGCTATAATTTTTTTGGAGTTATCGTTATCAACAGAAATGGATGGACGACTCATATGAGGCAAGTTTTCGATGATTCCTTTGGAAACACAATATTTCAAGAGGACGTTGATCAATTTTTTTTTCCATGGATAAAGTTTATGCTCACTGATTGACATATGGAGATCAAACTTCACACACGCATACAAAAGGTTGTACCTATGTAGGTAAAAAAGGGCGAGTCAAATTGTTTTTGTCCTAAATAAAGGCTTATGAATATCTACCAACTTCTTCATGATAATCAGTACATGTCTTTGAAATGTTCACGTAATAAAGGAAAACTCTATAAAAGCTTCCAATAAGAAAAATATTCTCCAAAAAAATATCCAAGTAGAGGTACTTTTTCCAATAGCCTTTTTTTTGACAGATTACGCATGAGTTCTCTTAAGCTGTCATATAATTTTTGTTCAGTATTGTTAGGCACTTTATTATGGAAAGACTTACGCCTGAACAACGTTTACAAATTGTTCTACTTTGTGGTCAAAATAAACAACACCATCGCCCATCGTGTGACCCAGCATAAATTATTTGATAATATTCGACCGAATAGACCACGTCTTCCGACTTTTTAAAGCCAAATTTTGTTCAGCGATCAGCCATTTCGGGCTCAATGGGTATGTAAACTAGCAAAATTGCCGCATTTGGGACGAAGAGCAACCTGAAGAGCTTCAAGAGCTTTTATTTTATCCAGAAGATGGTGTGGTTTGTAAGCCGGTGGAATCATCGGTACATATTTTTCCAAAAATATCACCGGTGAGAGCGTAACCGTTATCGCGTCATGATAACCGTTTATTTGAAGCTCGTGATCTCGGCTACATTTGGTTTCAACAAGACAGCGCTACTTCCCACACATCGCACTTATCTTTATTGAGATTTCTTTATTGAGACACTTCGGTGAGCGGATAATTTGACGTTTTGGGCCGGTCGATTGGCCACCAAGATCTTATGATATCACACCCTATTCCTGTGGAATATGTAAAGTCTAAAGTCTATGTCAGTCGAAAAAAAAATTGGACTCAACAGATGAATCATCTAAGACGTAGCCGTGGCCAACATTTGAAAAAAATAATCTTCAAAAAATAAATGCCAAATAATGTTGTTTCGAATTATATTGTAGTAAACACTCCCCATTAAATTTGAATTTTCTGTATTTTTTCTTTAAAAAAGTTGGGCACCTCGAAATGGCTCACCCTTAATAATACCAATAAAAAATTTTCAATATTTTACTTCAAACATATGCTTTAAAAAGTTAGTAGAAATTGTATATTTTAATACAAAATATATACATAATTATTCACACAACAGCTAAAGTCCTTCACCTTGCAAATTTAGCTCGTTAAGTAGTTATACAAGGAAATCATAACGGCAGATGCCGTTGAAATACTGACTAGATAATTCATGAATAAATTGCATTTTTCATACTAAAAAGAGTAATAAAAGAGAAATATTGACAATACCTAAAATATTTCAACAAATTGAAATAAATGGCAACAAATTTATTTTGCTTCCTCATTTGAAAAATGTCTCTTATATTTTTTTCTTTATAAAAAAACATCAAAAACTATAAAAACACCAGCAGGACATATGATGAAATAAAAAACAAAGCCATATTAGCACCCAAAAAATCACAGTTGTAAAACAATAAGTCTACAGTTCGAAGCGTCAGTTCGTTATATGCGCCCGCGTTTAGCGCACTTTCAGTCAAAAGCAAAACCAAAAGCGTCCCCGAATTGTCCTTTCTTTAGTACGTTAAATGTTTTTCATCATAGTTGTCTTAGTCACACTATTCGTCGCTGCGTCCGATCTACGTACAGCGCTCAGTCTACAATAATTACTTCATCGACTAGCAGCACATCATCTTCTCCATCCTGATCTACGTCATAATACTCGGCCGTCGGTAGATTGTTATCTGCGAGCTGATCGTAAGCATCGCTACCAGCAACGTTGTCGCCATCATCTTCATCTACTGTATCGTAGCCATCGTTTTCATGATCATTATAATTTTCATCATCGTACTCATCGAAAAAGTATAGATCATTTGCTTCATCGTGATCTCCGGCATCGATATCATTATCGCTATCGTCTTCTTCATCCTCGAACTCTTCATCTTGTTCCACATCAATATCCTCGCCAAAGACCTCTTCATCACCATCGTCCTCCTCCTCCAAGCCCTCCTCATCGCCAATATCCGATGCAAAGTCGTCTTGGCTATAACGGAAACCCCGTTCCATTTCCTCTTCGAACTCTACAGTTTGTAAATCACCTTCATCATCTTCGCCGGCTGCTTCACTGGCACTCACAGTCGATGCTGAATTGGTGGGCGTGGTTGCGCTCGCCAGATTGCCGAAGCTCATGCTATTAGCAATACCGAAAACATCCGTTTCGGCGGCGATTGCCATAAACTCCTCCAACAAGTATATTTGCTCGGCCGATGCTTCAACGGTGGACTCCGATAACGCAGTAGCCGTGGCTGTAGCAACAGCAGCTGTTGCAGCGGCGACTGTAGCCGACGTGGCATTCAGACGCCTGCGTGTGGGCGTATACTGGCTGGTGCTGCTACTACCTGCATTGATGGACATTGTAGCTGAGGCTGTCGTATGGTCCGTTTCGGAATGTTTTCGCTTCACCTGTCCGCAAAGAAAGAGATAGAGAAAAGCACACAGAAAACGGGGCGAACAAGAGACATTTTTCAATTAAGCAAAACAATGTACGCTCAGACAACTTACTGAACGTCGTTTCTCCTTCAACGAACCACGGCATATCGGACAGCGATTGGCCCAAGCGTACTTCTGGTACGATAAGTAGACCTCCAGACATTCATTGCAGAACGAGTGACCGCACGTGATGCGTACTGGCGAGCGCTTCTCATCGAGGCACAGCACGCAGCGTTCGCTTTTGCTTGCTTCACCAGCGACAGCGCTGCTACTGGGTTTGTTGGTTAAATTCTTCGCTAATTTTTTCGCATCGCAGTTGGCATTAGCGCGACTCCTGTTACAGTTAGGACTATTATTATAATTTACATTACTATTGACTTTTTTATTATTGCTATCGCTATTATTATTATTATTATCTTCGTCGGCCATATTATTCATTATTCGTTTGGCTTTGTGGCCGATCGCTGCTAATGTGTGTGTTTAGTCAACACAAATCTCGATCGGTTCCAGCCTGTCAAATGGCTGACAACTTTTCTATGCCTCTCTTTGTATGTTTTGTGTTATTCTTGATTGTTGTATGCTTCAAGTTATTATTATTGTTGTTATTACTGTATTTTTTGTCTGATTGTTTTCAACGTCGACGTCAAATTAAAATTCAGCTAGTACAAAAATATATATTTGTGTTGAATTATTTAAAAATTTACTGAGGAAAATTGTTGAAATATTTGTTTTGTGTTAAATTTTTGTTTTGAAAAGAAAAAATCACAAAACTAGACAAAATAAATTGGCATCTGAAGTGGCATTTGAAGTGTGAATCGTAGATAGGCAAATTATTTGGTAAAATGTGCAAACAAAACCTTAGAACAACAAATACACCATGCAACAACTTAAATTTAAAAAATATCTTAATACAAAAGAAAGAACAAAAGATTTCATACAAGAACTTCAACTTGATTTTGATCGGTCAGTTGGTAAGGCAACTATATGCTATAATGACATGATCTAAACAATTCATTCGGAGGTAGTCTCATACAAAATTTTGTGAAGCTTACTCGTCAAATAAAAAAGTTTTCTACTTGTATACAAAGACTTGATTTTGATCGGGCAGTTTGTAAGGCAGGTGGTCCAAACAATTTATTCCGAGATTATAGCATATACAAGAATCCTTGCCAAATTTGGTAACGATATCTCATCAAATAAAGAAGTTTTCCATATAAAGGCTTGGGTTGGATGGATCAGTTTGTATAACAACTATATGCTATAGTGATCTGATATAGGCGGTTCAGACAAATTAGCAGCTTCTTTGCGAGAAATGGACGTGTACTAAAGGCCGATCGATATCTCAAAAACTGAAGGACAAGTGCGCGTATATACAGACAGACGGTCCTGGCTAAATCGGCTCAGCTCGTTTATCAAATCATTTATGTATATATAATACTTTATAAGGTCTCCGATGTTTCTTACTGGGTGTTACAAGCTTTTGTAGCAAATTTCAGGGTTTTCGATTTCCCTACAAAATTTTTAAGATTAGTATGTGATAACGACATTCTTTGATCAAAACATTGACAATAGAGGCAATTTTGTAGTTTTTAAGTTATTGAAGGAAAGTTATATTATAGACGATGGGTTCGCCAATAAAATCGATTTAAAGTTCCTATCATAAATTTAAGGACTTCGAGATATCATTCACTCTAACTAAAAATAACAAGATGATGGAGTGGTATTTGCAGTATAATAACTTGAAATATGCGTAGGGTTGAGAAAATTGTCTATATAATGACGATCACTATGGAGATCCTTCTAAAGAAATTTCTTAAAAAATTACTTCTGAGTGCTATATATGCTTCTTAAAGTGGGAGGAGCAGTTTCTAAGATAATTCTTTTAAAAATTACTCCTGAGTACTATTTATGCTTCTCAAAGAGGCTGTCATATGATAAGCTTTTCCTGATTATTTCAAATATATCCGCTTTTTTATATAAATAGAGCTCAAACTGAATGGTAGGTCACTTTTTAGATGATAATTTTTAAAACCTAAATAACCCGGCTCGTGATAATCGAGGTATTTAAAGCAGTGTAAGCATCACAATTCTTCCACTTGAAAAGCCGTTTCTGGCGTAGAAGCAAAGCCGCTCACCTTTTTTCTTCAAATTAAGATCACTATGTTTATTTAACATTTTAAGACTTCCTTCGTCAGATTTCATACATTAAAAGTTTAATTTCTTACCTGTTTTTGTCTAACAGTAAACCTTGTTAATCATACAAACACATATAAAATGATGTTTTTCTATGTTTACTGTTCTGGTCGTTTAACCACAAAATACACGTCCTTGTACAGTGTGTAGTATAAGTGTGTAAATGTTTATCACTCGCAAATGTGTAAATCTTATTTAAAATTTATTCGTTTTTAAATACACCGTATACACGACGAAAGCGATACTAGCAACGAAATGAGCGTAGAGAGATAAAATAAGAAAATACACAGCAATTCGGAGACCCTGATGGAAAAAAATCGATGTCGGTAGATACAAAAAGTAAAGGAATACTTCTGGCAGCTGATCTAGAATTCATAGAACTCTTAATTTGATACTTATGGTTGTTCTATAAAAAAAACTACCAAATATTAACTTTCAACACTTGAGTTTTAAGAAACTTGCTTTTAAACTCATTACCTAGACCATGAAAATTTTGTGTTCATATTTAATTTATATCGAATATTAAATTCAGTAACATGAAATATAATTTCCAAAACAACAATGAAAAATTAAAAAAACAGAAAATAAATCAAAATTTTTTGAAGTGAAGCTAATCATATTTTTTAATGTAGTTCGTTGTATTGAATATGCAAAGAAATTAAGATTTCTTATCTCCGATTGAACTTAATAAACTCTTTTCTGTTATGCACTAAAAATAATTTGGGGTTTTTTTTGTTCGATTTTGTGAAGAGTCAAGATGATTGGAGAGTGATTGTTGGGGAGTAATATTATATCTTCCAGACATACATATATTCTCAAAAGATGGTATGCTCTCTGTAGCTCTTTTTGGACAGAATTAATTATTATACAATACTTAAATAGGTTTCTAAGCTAAAAGCAAAAGCTTCAAATTATAGTTGAAAACCCATTTTGATATGGTATAAGAAGAAGAAGAAGTGTTTCGGATTTGCAAAAGACTTTTTTTCACCGCATAAATTAAGGTTGTATTTCATTTTTATCTGTTGAATACAATTTACGAACATTTTATATACATACATAATATTTATATACTAGCCTACTGAAGTCCCTACTTTCGGGGCCATAAAATCGTAAGCATATATGAAAATACAAAATTTTTAATAATACACCTTTCTTTTCAATTGCTAAAACTTTCCTACTGGCCTGTGCATCCATTCGTACTTGTACATGCTTTTATAAATTATACCCGTCTGTAGACTTGACAAATATCCTCGCCAGGCAATTAGTGGCGTTGGCAGTTTGCTGAAATAAGTTGGAGCAAGCAGCAAATATGCAAGCTGCGCCATTTAGCAGTCACCGTGTAAAATAGAGGTGCGAAAATTGTTAAAAAAAAACTGCGAAACAATTTTTATACCCAGTGTATTTAGCCCAAATAAGGTAATATATACATTTTTAGATTTAATTAAAAAAATGATGACTAAAGAGTTTTATAGTTAGGTGGCGACAACCAATATTTAATAATGCTCAATCATTTGACAAAGAGACAATAATTTTCATCTATCGTGAGAACCTTTCTTAGAACTAATAAGTCCCTTAAAAGAAATACCTTGCTTTAACCGTTTTTTTGCTACATAAGGGCGAACTATTCAGATTTTAGTGATATTCATAAATAAACAAGAAATGGTAATATTGGCTTTAAATGTAGTTCTAGGCGAGATTTCGATGGAGTTTCGGGAAAAGATTTTTTAGCGAGAGCTGTTATTTAATTGATTTTCGGTTGTTCCAATTTACTGTATTTGTCTAAGTGGTTTTGGACTAATTAGACCTCTGAAATGTTGATAGTTTGCAATGAGGTCTAAAACAAATGTTTTCAAGAGATCTTAAGAAAGCGTTTACGAATAGTTTCGTTCGAGAATCTATGTCACTAGTCATTGAGTTGTAGTTATGAACTCAACTGGGAAGACATCGATCGCGCTATTTTTTCAACCAGATTGCTAACTAATCTACTCCATTAATGGTGTATTTCCCAGCACCAAAGTTTCATAGATCAGACTATTTCTGTTATAATTCGGATAATTTGAAAAGAAGATTTTCCATTCAAACCTCTAAGCCACTTTGATATGAAATAATCCAATAATTGTCTGATATCAGCTTGAGAAGAACATCTTATTGTTTCAGTCCTTACTTCATAACCTTAAATGCAACGCTGAAAAATATTATTTAGTGTTTTGGCAAAAGTATGTTTCTGTGCCTCCGGTCGGTTCCAACAACGATTAGAAGCAAGAAAGACTTCATTTGAATCAACTGTAGCCAAAATGGCATAAATTAAAAAACAAAAAACAAAATATAAAAATTAGTTTAGTACTATGCACTTGTATTAAATGATCGACGCTCATACATACTACCTCAACTACCCTAAATATTTGCATATCTACATTACAGTTAGATCTAGATAGTGATTCAAAACTCGTTTCGTTGAAAATCAGCTTGTAGCTTGTAGTTTATATAGCCGGTATCACTTTAGCTGCTATTCTCAACGCCTTTTCTTTAAATGGCTTTGATGCGCTTTCAACGCCTGCATGTATGCAATGTTTATTCGAGCGTAAGCCTTTTGTTGCCCAGCCAATGTGGAAAGCCATTAACAAAGCATGTTTGTACGGTCTTCCTTTGCAAGCATTTCAATGGCGATGAGAGCGCATAGCTAAGCGCATATATATGTAAGGTATGTGTCTGAGTGGGTTTTTTGTGTATGTTGGTGTGTATGTGTGTGTTCGTGTGCCCGCAAGGCATTGCCGTTGTGCTGGAATTCATTAGCCAAATGCATGGCTGTAAAATTGCATAATTTCCTAGCGTAAGCGCCTGGACATTTTGCACCTTTTACTGCCATTTTATTTCACTGTCTTACTTACGTGCTTGCTTACTTAGTTACTTACTTTCGTGCTTATATACTTACGTGATTACTTATCATAGATAGTTTTGTGATTACTCAAAGAATTTCATGATTGCTTATATGCCATGTGATCAAAAATTACCCGTACTAATATATCGAATCGTTAAAAAAAACTTCTTAGATTGATACCACCTTTTTTATGTTCGCGTCAAGTTTGATTATCATATATCAATTAGAGTGTGTTTGTCAGCTGGTTTTCGACGCGAAAGGTTTGTCTGGCGATGTTTATAATGAAAAAAAAATAAAAAGAAAAAAGTTTGTTTGAAAGGTCCCAGAGAGGGACAGTCCGAATATTTGTCTCCACTCGACTGTATTCCTGATAACTTGAACCACTGTACCAGCGTACTTCTAGTGGAAGCACATACCTTCAAGGAATACGTGGGTGAGATGGAGTCGAGTGGAGTGGATCGAAGCACAAGGGAAAGATTGGAGTGGTATTCTCCTGACGGGAGCTCTCAATCTACTCTTCTTTCAGACTAAGACACCACTGTAGTATTTTTCCAAGCAGAAATGGCAGCCATTAAAATGACAGCAGATATACTTCTTCAAAATGCGGTTTCCTTTAAGGAGGTATGCATCCACTCCGATAGCAGAGCTGCTATACATGCCTTGAGTTCGCTTACAGAAAAGAGTATATCTACCCAAATCCTATCAGGATGGAAACAAACAGGTGTTTCCTTGTCTTTGTGCATTCAAGCGCTGGATCTATGTGCTTTGCGTGCGCTCAGTAAGCGTGGGTTAGCAAACTTGTGGGGTTGCGAAAGCTTTCTAGCCCAAAGTAGAACGTAAAAGGTCCATTTAACTACTAGCTCTTAGCAAGGTTCACATGACCGTAATTATAGGTGTCCTAACTGGACACTGTCCAATTGGCACTCACGCGATGAGGCTATATATGCAGCAAGGAAGTTGAGCTGGAAATATCTAGACACTTTCTACTCCACTGTCGAGCTTTTGCCAAAATAAGGTTAAAGCATTTCGGTTGTCATACGAAACCGGAAAACTGGCTGGAATAGATATTAGCTCGATATGCGACCATCGTTTTAATCCACAACTAGGAGTTTTGAAACATCCCAGTGGACAGAAGTCAAACAAAATTCGCTTAAGGCACTAAACGCCATTTAAAGCGATGCTTGTAGCAAGAGTATGAAAAATAGGATTAAGTAGTGTTGGCGTGCTTTTATTGGCTCAATCAAGATTTGTATTAAAATACATAAAAATTAAGTCCGAGTAATACCTGATCAGCTGGTATGCTTACTTACCTTCACACTCATTTGCATACTTATGCACTTTCTTAGATATTGATGTTCTTAAATTTGTTCATGCTTCGCTTACTGCCATTTAATTAATTGCTTCGTTACTTCAGCTGCTGCGCAAAAATATTTGCTTAGGCAATTATTAAAGCCTAAATATTTGTGGCAAGTAAAGTGGTTAATAAATAAATGTTTTCTTCCATACATTTATATATTAAATAAATATTTAGTCGTCTTTATTTACATACCGGCACACTGTTAAGTTGAAGAATTCAACTGTGAATTGCACATG